GTCTGTGTCAGTTTGTCTGTGTCCTTTTGTTTGCTTTTTTGTTTGTTCGTGTCTCTTTGTTGACGTTTGCTTGTTTGTTTGTTTATTTGTTTATTTGTGTCTGTTTTTTGTTTGTGTCTGTGTGTTTGTGTCCGTTTGTTTGTGTCTGTTTGTTTGTTTGTCTTTTTGTTTGTTTGTGTCTCTTTGTTGGTGTTTATTTGTTTATTTGTTGCAGTTTCAGCTGCAAATTTCGCCTGTTTTTGTTTATTTTTATAGATCTGATTATATTACACACATTAAACTGTTTACCCAACAGGAGGATGCTGAAACTTAAATTAAAGCCTTGGTGACCCTCCTGCTGCCCTTCGGTCAAAACGACCCTTTTAAAACTGAGGAGGCATTGTGGGTCATTTTGACCCAAGGGCAGCAGGAGGGGTGAAGCCTTCATGGTTAGAAAACTTCAGCATCCTGAAGCTTCTTGTTCCTTTTTCTCCAACTGGAACAATAAAAACAAACATATTAAATATAAATTTAATCAGAAACATCAAAAACCTGCAGGAATGTTTTGACCCCGTCTCGGGAGATGAATGAGGTATGAGTTTGTTCAAGTCGTTGATTTCCCTCCCTTCAGAAGTAAAACTGAATAATTCCTGTTTCTGTTCAACCATCCAGATGTTTGTTGTGTCTGACACATGTGGGCCTCAGCTCAGCTTCGTGTTTTATTTATCAAACTGAAGCAGAAGAACGAGCGATGTTCATGCAGAGACAATCTTTAAAATGAAAAGATGACTCGTCAGAGACAACGATAAATAAAGAATGGTTTTAAAAATGCTGCCCAGATCACATCTGTCCTCAGCATTCTGGAGCTCAGTTGGATTACAGGCAGAGAAACTCAGACCAGGACCTGAACCAAACTTCTTCTGCAGCTCAGACCTGAACCTAGTCCGAGCTCTGAAGCCTCAGGAGGTCTTCTGACTTCTCTTGTGTTCCCTGATGCTTTTTAGTGAAAATAAACTAAAAAATGTTTTTCTGCACATTTCTGCTCCTCTGGGAGTCGCCTCAGGTCTGAAGAACAAGAAGAGGTTTTGCTGTCATCGTGGACTGTGATTATTCTAGTTGTTATATCCAGACTTCAGGTCCAGTAAGGAAACCTGGGTGTTGGAACTAAACCTCGATCAGATTTAAAAGATGTTCTCAGAGACAAAGAACGTGTTTGTTCTGCAGAAACACGTGGTCTCTGCAGAAACTGCAGAGTCTGTTTGGGTCTTTTTGTTTTTTCCTGTTTCTACAGCCCATCGGTGCCTCTGGCTGCTGTAAGTCAGTGTAGGTGGATGGAAGCAGAACCGTTTGAAAGAACCTGCATAAAACATTAGGGGAGGGTAAGAGAGAGTTTAATTTTGTGTTCAGGACTGCAGAGGAATCAGCAGAGAGAAGAAACCCACGGAGGCTCAGAGATCTGCTCACTCTGAGGGAGGTTGGACAGAAAAATCTCACAGATCTGTGGTTTTTGTTTAAAACAGGTCTCTTGAAAATGAGTCCTCGTGACTCAGTGAAGCTAACCTGTAGAAGTAAAGGTTGAATGAATGAATGAAAAGAACAAGCAACAGTTCAGGCTTTTGTTGTGGAGGATGCTAAATGATCCAGATCTGACACTGAAACACTGCTAATAAAGCTAATGCTGATTGGACGGTCCCAGATGGGTTTAAACAGGCAACAATCCAAATGCTTATTAAAAAGACTCATCTTGATAAATGCATTATGACTATAGGCTGCTCTGTGGGCAGACATTTTATTTAAAATTTTTGTAAACGAGCCCACAACAAGCCCTCATCAGGTTTCAGAGCCTTGTCAAAGACAGACCAATCTGCTTCGGTTTTTACACAGAGGGAAATTTGTTTATTTGACTTAGTTGGATTTTAGTCCAATTGATACAATCTCTGGGACCAGTTTTAGATTCAGGCTTCTGTTCGTCAATTCTTCACTACATATTTATGAAACAGGTCCTTATATAAAACACTGAGAAGCTTCTCTTCCTCTCCCGCCCATCAGATGTGGAGTTCTTTAGAATCCGTCTTGGAGCTGATTTTATTGACAGTGATCAGGTTTTGGGGGGGTCAAATCTTCCACAAAGAGATTTATTTAATCAGTATGCAAATGATCTATACGCTGTTGGGTTCCATTGAACTAAAACGTGTCCATCAATTTTTTGTGGTAAAGATGTAAAATGCTTCATGTACAAGTCTTCGGATAAACAATAATAAATCTGAAGTTTTATTTGTTCCACCAAACATTTCTGTATATTAAGCTTTTCACTTAGAGCAATTATCATTTGATCTTCAAGCCTCTGATAAGAGTCTAGGTGTTATTAAGAGTACCTATTACCAGTTATTTTTTATTTTACAGTGACTTTTGGCTCAGCTTTAGAAAAACAGCACATGATAACTTCCATCAAAATGTGCGTCTTAATCAGGAACAGTGAGCTCTGACTTTTGGTGGCAGAACATCAAACAACAGAGATGCAATTCACTACAATCCGTAAAAATATCCTAATAGACATGAATATTATTTAGTATTTAGTGAGTGGTAAAATCCAGTACTGTTTGGAGTTCTACAGCTCAGATTTCACAGCAGGAACATCAGTTTAAACAAAGAGGTCACTGAAAGCTATACTTTGCATGTTGTTTTGTATTATCACAACGCATCTTCACATATGGTATGGCAACACACTGTACCGCCACACATCGCACCGCCACACATCGTACCGCCACACATCGTACCGCCACACATCGTACCGCCACACATCGTACCGCCACACATCGTACCGCCACACATCGTACCGCCACACATCGTACCGCCACACATCGTACCGCCACACATCGTA